GAAAAATGAAAATGTATTTTAGAAAAGAAAAAAAAAAAAAAAAAAAAAAGAAGAAGAGGTCATGAGGCTGGCCCAGCCACTGAAAATATATTCTCTTTGCAATAATTATAATAACAAAAACAGGAATATTAATATATGCCCCTCCCCACGCTCTGCAGGTCTTTATACATCAGAGAGTCTTTCAATAATACAAAAAAATTATACATATATATTCTAAAAAAATATTTACAAATCCTAAATTTCCACTCATCCTCCCAAATTCTCAGTAAAGAAACAGCTGTCCTTTTGTATAAAAAGTCAGTATAAGAAGAAAATAAACTTTTTCCTAGATTTGCTATAGTCTTTATGACCAAGTAAAGAAGAATCATATTTGACTACTTTTATACTGCTTTAGTGGATGTCTAGTGTACTCTGTGGAAGGCTGGAATTAAGGTCTGAGTTATCTGCACTTAAACCCAAGTCAGATATTCCCCCTCCATGAAGACCAGATAAGTGAGACAACATGGATGTGCGATCTGGGCTCCCATAATGCCCTTGATCCACAGGGTTCCCCTGCCCAACTACTATGCTTGTATGAGGAGAGTTTGCCTGCGGAGAAACATTGTGGGGAGAGGGCTGAGGTTGCATACACGGTGATGGACTAGAATGAGGTGGCTGGGATCGGGGGGAGGACACTGGCTGAGGAGAGCGCACTTGGTTGCTTAATGAAGGCGGGAGCTGCTGGCCCTGCAAATGGGGAGATTGGGCTGGACCTGGCAACATATGTTGCTGTGGACTCATGAGGTTCTGTTGTGCTGGAGATCCCATTTGTTGGTGTAGAATTCGCTGATTAAAAGTCTGCATGCTGTTAGTATCATTTACCATTCCCTGTGGTACTTGGCTTAACTGTCCAATACTAGCTTGTTGCATTTGCATATGATGTTGAATGCGCTGCTGTTGTGTATACCCGCTCATGACTTGGTGTTGCTGAAACTGGTTGTGATTCATCATTCCAATACCAGATCCCTGCTGTTGTTGCTGCTGTTGATGCTGCTGCTGTTGCTGCTGTTGATGTTGCTGCTGCTGATGTTGCTGCTGCTGATGTTGCTGCTGCTGATGTTGCTGCTGCTGATGTTGCTGCTGTTGATGTTGCTGCTGTTGATGTTGCTGCTGTTGATGTTGCTGCTGTTGATGCTGCTGTTGCTGCTGCATCATTTGCTGGCGCCTGATTAGAAGCTCACGAAACTGGGGGGAAATTCCAGCATGGTTCATATTCATTGGTTGGCCCTGTGAATTCAACCCTGCTATGGCCTGTTGAGATGAGGGAGACTGAATAGTCTGTGGCTGTGGAGCCTGAGGCTGCTGTGGCATTGTCCGTTGTCCTACAGCCTGCATCGGGCTCACACTTTGAATGCTTGCATTGGGGTGCATGACATGGGGTAGACTTCCTTGGGAGGGCATCCCAGGCATATTGCCAGCACTCTGTAAACCCTGGGTGCTGGCATACTTAGCCGCCCTTTGCTTTATAAAAGCAGCTAATAGCTGTGGATTGGAGTGCAGTATATTAAGTACCTGCTGCTGCTGCATTGGGGAACTAGGGGACCGCAATGTACGGAGCAGTGCAGCTTGTGGCAAGGAACTTTGCTTTCCCTGGCCTGTTCCAGGAATCTGTCCCATACCAGCCTGCGGATTAATATTCATTTGCTGTCCTTGCTGTACAGACATTACAGGTGGTCTCTGCATGGTAGGTTGCATGATTTGTGATCTACTCTGTACACGTGCTAGTTGTTGGGGCATTGAAGGCTGGTGTGGCTGCGCCATTCCTGTAGGTCCCATTCCTGTAGGTCTCATCCCCGAGTCCATTAGAATTGGTCCTCGTAGTCCTTGTGTGTTTATCCCTGTAGACTGCATGGCATTCATTGGCTGCATTTGGTGAGCGTTTGACATTTGGGGTGGGAAAGGTTGTGACTTTGCCATTTGTCTTTGAGTCTCTGCTGCCCTTTGAATCTTCATAGCCATCTCCACAGCCGCTGGAGGGGGACCCGAAGGCTGAACTGATCCTGCCTGGGATGATGGTGGTGTTACTTGGGCTGCTGGATTGCCCTGTGACATACAGCTGGAGGGAAGAGCATGCTGCATACCATAAGATGGCATGTTATTACAAGGAAGTGGTTGAGGCTGTGACTGTGATTGAGGAGTATGTGATATGGGGGGCTGCTGTCCTGTTGGTGTTGTTGGACCAGCTGAATTTGGGGAAGGAAGACTTTGCTGAACACCTACTACCCCTGTTCTTTGCATGCTTGCCATACGTCTGCGCAACATTTGTGCCTGTTGAAGCCTGTGCTGCAACTGCTGCTGCCGAAGCTTGTGTTTTATGTTGAGACAGAAGGGCACAGGACATTTGTTCTCCTGGCAGTGTTTGGCGTGGTAGCAACAAAGTGCTATAAGTTGCTTGCATATTGGGCATCCTCCATTTGTCTTGCGTTTACAGCCCTTTGTATGCTGTACTACTCTCTTCATCTTCTGGCATGATGGCAGTGAGCAGTTTGCATTGCGACACTGGCAAGCATGAACCAGGGACTGGATACAGCGTTGAATACTTAACCTACGAGAATCTCCAGGACTTTGTGTTGCTGCTGCCTGCTGATTGCTACTCTCATCATCCAAGCCAAGGCCAAGTTTTTCCATTTTGTGCTCATGGGTTTTTGTACTATAACATGTGATGCACAAATCATAATCCTAAACAGAGAGAGAAATGTAGGCATTAGAACACAAAAGCCCCAATACTGAGAAAATAGAACTATAAACACAATTTTGATGTACAAGACGTTTTCACTTGTATTACTGTTAATCATGTTAATATTTGGGAAATAAAATTCGAAGAATGAACACAACCCCCATTATCTAAATAATGGATATATTTTAACCACTTGCCGGCCGCTCATTTACAGATTACACAGCTACCGCAGGATGGACAGTGGAGCACGTAATAACCGGCAGCGGCAGGTGGGCGGCAACCTCTTCCCAACGGGTGGACGTACATGTACGTGATTTTTTTCTGCGCGTGTAGAATCCCGGTGTGTATATGACAGCCAGTATCGGCTGTTATATACAAGCTTTTCGACGGCTCTAAAGCCGGCTGATCGCTTGTATGACAACAGCATGCAGCCCCCCCTGCACCGCCGCAGATTATGCCGGGCTTTGCTGGCACCCCTGCGGGTCCAGGACCGGCACAGCGGATGTGTACTCTGTAAATGGAGGAGAGATCAACATCCTCTCTCTCTGTATTACATCACTCCCGCCTTTAGCTGTCATTTATCTGGCTGCTATAGCCAGAGAAGAAGAAGCTGGTGAAGCAGATCTCTGCTTCATCAGCTTCTTTGGGGGTCCTAGCAACCCTGATGTCTCCATAAAGAGGACCTGTCATTGTGTATTGACTATCACATAGGGGGCTTGTTAGTCCCCATGTGATAACTTTATTGCGAAGTTTAAAAAAAAAAAAATTAAAAGTCTCACATTTAAAAAAACAAAACAAAAAAAACCACACATATATAAATATAAATACGCATCGGGTGCACCTACGTGTGAAAACAATGATTACGCCACAAATGTGGGAGTGTCAGCAATTTAAAAGCTTGACATGTTTTGTGTCTTATTTACCCGGTGACCCCGTCTTTTATGTTTTACCAAAAATGTGGGTACTGATAAATATTTTATAACATAACGAAGGGAAAACATTATAGGAGTAAAAAATAAAAAACCCGCAGTGGTGATTAAATACCACCAAAAGAAAGCTCTATCTGTCCCCAAAAATGGTATAAAACTAATTTCAGTACAGGGTCGCATGACGGAATAAATGTCAAAGTACCGCAGAGCATGATTCGGAAAAATGACCTGGACAGGAAGGGGGGTTAACACCCAGGTCAGCAAGTAGTTAATGGATATATTTACCTCACACACTGTGCAGTGCCATCGTGTCTCTACATGGTGTTTGCACTCATTACAAGTGTAGACAAATCGGTCCTGGCTTTGGGTATGAAGTTCCACCAGCATGCACATAGTAGACCATTTAGCTCTACGCATAGAGGAGAATTCCAAGTGTTTGTCCCTTGCAAGAGTTAGAAAGGCATCACGTCCATCCATTAGGTCACAAGGAATTAAGGGATCTGGTTCTACAACAGGGGGCAGGGAGTTGGCAGCAGGCCCAGCAATTAACCGGATAACAAAAAAGACCTGAAAACAGAAAAGTATTTAGACTGTTAAGAAACTTTATAGTATTAATGAACATTAGTTTAGTTACTTTATATTTTGTCATCCTTTGTTGTTTATCAAAGCTGCTAATCTCTTACAACCTCTTTTCAGACACTTCCTGTCTACACACATTTTTTAGGGTGAAAGTCCTGATGGGGATAATAGGGGAATATGCATTCTTAACATGTGTTGTGTTGGCATGGCCATTTGTATCCACTGGAAAATCATGTAACAGGGTGTCAATGCAGGCGAACTAAGCAGAAAATGGATAAAGTATTGATATCATATATATTAAAAAAAAGTGTTTAAACCAGAACCTTAAGGGCAGGATAACCAGGTATTGTTTTAATTAATACTGCAGATTTACAAACACTGAAAAGTGACTTTTGAAATTACTTCCAACTTGTAATCAGTGATTTAAAAAAAAAATGTAAGCAACTAAATGATCTAATCTCACAATGTCTCTGTACTGCTAGCTTTGTACATTCACCTCCATCGTTCTAACTTCTATACATTGCCTTAGAAACCACTCACCTCTTTGTGTTTTTCCATTGTGGCATACAGCTTTTGTGACAAGTCATTGGAAACATTAGGCATGCCAGGTTTCTTCTTGTTCCCTCTGCTCAGACTGCTTTTGTTTTTGCTTGTCTTTTTGTTGTTCTTTTTCTTTGCATTCTTGCTATCACCTTTTCCAACCTGTCAAGCATACATCAATGGGGAGGAGAAATCAAAAAATTACCAAGAGCCAAGACAAAAAAAAAATGCATTCTATAATAATTCCTATGGCTTTAACCACTTCCAGCGGGTACACGTAAATGTACGTCCTTCGCTGGAAGTGGTTATACCAAGAACACGGCTGCTGCTACCATTTTAAACAGCAGGCGATTGCTGTTTAAATACAAGCGATCTGGCGTCTGATCACTGGACCCGGAAGTGATGTGCATTACATCACTTCCGGTGTCACTGGGCACATTGTCAGGCTTCTAGAGCCAGAAGAAGCTGATGAAGCAGATCTCTGCTTCATCAGCTTCTTTGGGGTCTCTAGGTGACATTAGGGGTCTGATGTCTCCATAAAGAGTACCTGTCACCTTATACTTGTCAGCCTCCTATGCAATAGCAATAAAGTTGAGTGTAAAGAAATAAAAAAAAATGTAAAAAGTAAAGTAACATAAAAAAAGCAAAACAATTATTTTAAAGCCCCCCGCACGCAAACACACGTCGGATGCGCCTACGTGTAAAACCAAAAATTGTGCCACACGTTACATATCATCGCGAGCGTCGGAGTGAGAACAAGAATTCTAGGCCCATTAATCACTGTTGGCACTAAACTGATGAGCCGTAAAAGCGTTTAAAGTGTCGCCTATGGTAAATTTTGGTTAACGCAGTTTTCTGCGGTTTCATAGACAAATGCAATTTGAAGGCTCAACATGTTTGGTATTTATTTACCTGGGGTGACCCCGCCTCCTATATTTTACCAACAAATTGGGTATTATATTCTGTTTCTGTGCACTAAATTTCATTTGTGTATTTTATCCAAAAAATACTTGTTTGATAAACATTTACGCAAATACTGTGCAAAATACAAAATTGCAACTAGCATCTTTTTATTCTACAGGGCCTCTGCTTTCAGAAAATATTCAATTGTTTGGGGGTCTAAAGCTGTGGTTAAAAACAGCCTTAGTTTTCGTAAACATGAAAGCTACCTTTAATAGAAACAGAAATTGAGGTTTTTGACAGAGTGTCTCCGGTTAACTAAAGTCTCTTGTAAAAGTATTCAGACCATTCACTGATCTTTTTTTTTTGCTTAAATCCTACACTAAACCTTTTTTCTCTTATTCATAACACAAATCACTGAACATTCTACTGCGTTTGGCAGGAGAAAAAAATGTAACAAAAATATAGCCACTCTGCATATCAGGAGGAGATAAACGGTAGGCTGGAATCATGATGTAGCTATTCAATTACAGTAGAGACTGTTTTACACTTTTGTAGAGAGATCTTTATAATAAACCTGCAACAACTGAAACTTACAATATACAAAAAGAAACGCAGAACACTGCTTTCTAAATGCATCTTGGGAAAATGTTATAACACAAAGTGATTAGCATTTATTGTGGTAATGTAGAGGTGCAGCGATGTTGTACAGTTTATTTGTGTACATTTTCATGACTTGCATTGCTGGCTTTTTAATTTTTTTAATGAACATTTTAGTAGGCTCGAGTCCTACAAATTGAAAAAAATGTTCTCCACAGAAAACTTAGTTGGACACTGGGGTCGGGTTTTAAAGCAGCTGCCCCCCTCCCTGTGAGTTATTGTCACAAGATCACTAGGGATGCAGCTATACCGTTTTTTCGGTATCGAGTACCGATATTATTTTCTGGTACTCGCCGGTACCGAATATACCATTAAGGAAGCCGGGCGGCGTGTATAGCGGTCTTAGACATCCCTACTCCTTCTGTGAGCCTTTCTCCCCGATACTTAGCGTTGAAAGTTTAATGCTTACACCTTTTGTCCTCCTCAGAGTGGCTGTTCTTAGCTTATGGACCTGTTTTACCAATAATCCCTTTGGGATCTGTTTTGAGGCTGGAAAACCTTCCAGTGTTCCCTTTGTTGACGATTCTTGTTGTTGATCTATTATCCCAGTTCAATTAGTTATATTACTACACCTGTTGGTGGTTGCATTGGCTCACAGCTTCTGCTGGTGAGCACTTGCTACCGGACAATCAATGAGAACACTAAGCTCTCCAGCGCTAGCTTCTTCCTACCATGCAGGAGATGAAGCACACCCAAATGCACAAATCTTCATCCCCAGAATGAAGACTGCAGAATGGAGAGTCTCAAAAGTACAAATGATGCCACTAAGGCAAACTGTGCGGTTAAGAGTAACATACTCAACGTTGTCCAGGTTAGGAACCAGGTCACTGAACCTCTCATAGGTAGAATACCCAAACCTGCCTGTAGGTAAAAGGTCCTGGAGCACTAAAAAGATGTCCAACAAAGATCAGGCCAAGGAACCTGCTTACAAAAGGGCCCCATAAAGAAGCAAGCACCGAACTGGTCCAGGGAAAGAGTCTAATTTGAGACAAGAGGACAACCATAAGACAGGAGGTCTCTATGATGAGGGTGAAGGATTTAACCCATAGACCCTAAATGACTGAGGATGCATGTCATGGACCACAAGAACCATGGGGACTGCCTGCATGTCTCGCCTCAGTTCCAGACACCAAAGGGAAGACAAAGGCAGGCCAAAGGGCAACAAGAGCAGGTAGAAGCGAGGAGCGCAAGCCCCCCACACCCCACTAGCCCTTAAACCGGAAAGACTTGGCAGTGCTGTGACCATTAGAGAAGGTTCTAACCCAGAGGGTGCAGAGTGCATACCAACACTAGACATCTATGAGGTTCCAAAGAGAGTTGGGCACTTGGAGAGAATTCTGATTATCAGAGTTCAGAAAAACAAACTTAAGGAAGGTACCCTAAATGTCCCACAAAAGGGCTGCCAAGAAAAGGCACTAGGGGACAGATAAAAGGTCCATTGCTATTAACAACTACAAGTAAAAAGTCTGAGGGAGCAGTGGAAACTGCTCCCAACTAACTCCGAAGCTCCCTCTAGTCAGAGGGATACTGAGGATCAGCATTATCCAGACTTACAGAATTTCCCTGAGGAGGGGAGGGAATGCCTTTGTAGGAATAAGGGAATAACTTTCAAGGGTAAGTGCTTAATAAAAAAGATATTTGTGGGAAGCAGTGACTGAAAGTTACTGCTCTCTGCAGGTAGGAGACAGTGGGCAATTAGGATTACATGATTGACGGGCCCTCGCTACATAGAGCAGGCATGTGACAGCTGCAATGTCCCTACTGGCTTTCTGTACATAGAGCCGGCGTGTGACAGCTGCAAAGTCCCACGCCAGCTCAAAGTATTGGGAAGAATATACTTTACTCTCCCAATAGTCCTTTAATACTTGACACATCCTGGATCGCAGCAGCAGGGGGAGACAGAGTATGCTATGTATGCCCTGTGCACTTGCATGACATTTTAGGAGCTTACATAGCATGCCCAAGGAACGGGAGCAGTTAAAAAGTGATGAAGTGCATCTACATAAAGACTACTACTCTAGCAGCAATGCATCAGCTAGACTCCTGTGGGGTTTTTTTTTTTTTTTAACACACTTTCAATACATAGCATGAACAATACTTGGGGCTCAGTGCTAAAAACTGGGAAGTATTGGTGTGACCATTATAATTTAATCATTTTTTTAATCAGATATAAATACTCATAGCAGAGAAAGTGATGCTGCTGTTTGTGTGCATGATAGTCCTGTACTTGCTGTTTATACCATGATGTTGGGAAATAAATTTGGTTGCGGATGCAACATAAACAAAGAGATGAACAACTGTGAAAATCCAGAGAATAGGCTTGGTTTAATGCTTTGATGAAAAAGGTATGTATTTCTGTAAACTCTATAGACAACTAGGGGCATGTTTAAAAATTGAGTGGTCAGGTTTTTCTTTTTGGTAAACATGGTAAAGTAGTACAGTGAGCGCATCCTATTGGTCTTTGATCATCAAGCACAGGGTATAGTAGACAATTTTAATGTCTATTTCAGATAATATTAAGAACAGAGTATGTAATTTATTGAATCTAAAAATCGAATGCAGGAACAAAAAATCACCTCAACACTTTCATCAAGGACAGTATTTTCTTCTCTCTTTCTTTCTTCCTCCTCTTGTTCTAATTCTTTGATGCTCTCCTCCAATACATTTGGCCAGAAATCGCCTTCAAAGTAGGGCAACTCCTTGGCACTAGTAAGCCTGTCTTCTGTTGCCTGTTTGAAGATGTCCTGAAAATAAAAACAAAGTGTATCACAAACAATTACTTTTTCCATTTAAATGCTAGTTTCACCTTTTTTTTAATTTTATTTCAGTGCTGCTCATTTCCTTTAAGCCTCATTCAGTTACTGTCTGTCTACATGCACTCTCTGCAACATCTACTATACATCATTGTTGTGAACTGCTTTGCTGACAGTGACATTGGTGGATTATGCCTGAGCAATGTGTGTCAGTACAGCTGCCTATAGTCTCCAATAGTGGCATGTGTGACAAAGCATAAGTACAACTGGGAGACAGTTTTTACCCTATAAAAAGACGTGCTCAACAAAGCCCTTCACGATCGGATCAACTGGTATTTAAAGAAACGCTGTATAATTATAAAAACTGAAAACAACTTTTGCAATTACATTAAAATGCTAACACTTTAGTGATGGAATTATATTATGTATGAAATTATGCAAGATTCAATTTACAAATTGAACTTGTAAAGGTTGTAGATAGTTACTTTGCTGACTGTTAAAAATCCTCTAATACTTTCCTAGGCAAAATGTTTCATCCTAATTGGAATTGACATCACTGTCTGCGAAGAATTTTAAAAGTCATAACATCAGGGTTATAAAAAAATGTATTTCAAATGTTTTATAAAGTGATAAGACAGAATAAAACATGGAGGTTTTAAGCACACAGAAAACACAAATCATAGTTACTTTGTAGTCATGAACGATGCGCTCCGACACAGATTTGTCCAACATTTTCTTATACCATTCCTGTAAACGTTTGGGCTTTGGAATTTTCTGATCGGGAGGATGACAATGGAAAATGTAGTCATCTCCTTCACTAGGAGGACAAGCCCAGATATGTCCAGTTGTGTACCTGTGTAGAGATGTCAAAAAATCTTGCCATTTAATTAAACAAATATAGCAAACATGAAAATGTTACAAATGTAACTTATGTTAACAAGGTTATGTCAGAAAAGAGAAAAAAAAATGTTTGAAAAGATTGCTTTGATGACTGTCCGATTACCTAGCCACCACTTTTTTTTTTTTTTTACTGCGGCATGCTCCACATGTAGTTCACGCAAATCCATCATTTACAATAACGTATCAACCTTTTTAAACTCTATCCTATACCTAATTAAAACTAATTTTGGCCTGACATTTTTACAGATTGAAAGGGCTCCTGCTTGCCACTACGGTTTTGGAGAATACCCTAATGTCAGAAGAACATTTATGTGGCTGTCTTTGAGGTATCAACCAACTATTATGTACCCCTTTGTCAAACTTTGGCTCTGTGGGATAAAATGAACATGGACTGGGGTGGAGCAATTGTTTATAAGTATTCGACTAATAGCAAACAATTTAATCACCAAACAGGGGGTGTTTATACTCTCCTGGAAATCATTTTTTATTTCAACAGAAAGTAAACAGTTTTTTTCCCCCCCAGAGGGTTATTTTTTCCCTTTAGTTAGTAAAAAAGTGGTTAATACCGCAAAAGTAAAGCTCAGTCTAAAAAATTATATAAAATTAATTTGGGTACAGTGTTGCATGACTAAGATGACATGACCTGACACTTGCATGAGTATATGGCAAACTATTACAGAACTGATTGAAAAATGATCTAGTAAGGAAGGGGGGAGTAACATGCTTGTATTGAGGTGGTTAAGGAATACAGGATTCAGAGACAAATGGGATATTATAATGCAGCCGTGCAAATTTGGGAAACAGCTGTAGAAAAGACCAAGAAGCACTCACAGATCAAAAAGAGTGCACCTTGACAGGAAATGGTGGAATTCACACCCTAAGACTATAAGCTTGAATGGTGATTTGTCCGAGCCACCTAAAAATGGTGGAATGAGGAATTGCTTGTCTCCCCTTTGTGGGCACTATCAGGGATGACAAATCAGTCTTTCAGACGGAAGCAATGGCTGTGAGGTAGACACACAAGAGCACAAACTAAGTCTAAACAATAAAGGAAAATCTCCTGCTGATGCACTGGGGCTGGACAGAGAAACATAGGCATAATGTTCTGCTTGAGATAAAAAGCTGACGCTACCTTGCAAAGGACAGAGACTCTAGGCCCTAATTTCACATTGTCCTTGTGTAATGCCAGAAAAGGTTCTCTACAGGCAAAGCATCCAGTTCAGACACATGCCTTAGGGAGGTGATGGCAACAAGGAGCGAGCGAGAGTAGTAAAAGGAATTATCCCCAATAGGTTCAAAAGGCCATTTTTTGAAGAGCCAAAAGAACCAGATTTTTTAAATCTAATTGATCCACAGGTAGGCACACAGGGGGAGCCACACGGGACACTGTACAAATAATTTGATCAAAGAATAGAAGGCTAACAGTCTTTGGAAAAGTATCGCAAGCACAGACCCTTGAAAGTACTCAGGGCAACGTGATTAAAGCCTCATTGTAAAGAAAGTCAGGATACTTTCTACAGATTATTTTCTGGGATGAAAAATGAATTCCTCGTACCAAACAAATTATGCCTTCCATGTGCAGTGGTAAATTTGGAACTGTGAAAAGGTTGGAACAAAACCCCTGAAATCTTTCCAATACAGCAACTAGGGTGATAACCCCTTGGGTAAGAAAACTCACAAGGGTTACATGGAGGTCTGATAATCTGACCACAGGAAGATTCGGAGGCGGTTGGGAGTGGAACTCTAGTTTGTGGGGCTCCTTTTCGTACTGATGTGGACTTGTCTGCAGGTCTGAGGAATTTAGAAGCCCAGGGTTTGCAGTGACACTGGGCTACTGGCTTGGGTTTGGCCTTAGAGGCTGAAGCCAGGATGTAAAGGAAACTCTTCTTAGCCTTAGAGAAGGGGAGGGGATGATTTTTTCCCAGTTTGAGGCCTAGGCTTCTTCTGCTAAGGTAACTGACTACTATTACCCCTCTTACATCCTTGATAAAGGTGTCCCTTGAAGGGCATGGATAATAAATGCTACATAAATGCCTGCTCCACAGCCCAACATTTCTACCAAAAGGTTAATGGATAGGAGAATACGGGAAAGCAGACAGAAGGCATCCACTAACCCACCTACACAGTAGTGCAGAGCTGTTGGCATGAATGCCAATTAGTCCACAAATAAAGGATCCGTGTGGAGTAGCTCTGGATCCGTTTCCATGAGTTTAGTCTATTACCCTAATGTTTGAAAGACTTGCATTACAGCAACAGGAGGTTGCAAGGCAGGTTCTGCTTGTGAAAACAAGGCTTTGAAAATCTCTAAACATTTGTCTGGGGCATGATCTCCAGCAAGGATAGTCAAACATCAGGCACTGGAAGAATGACAGCCATAGACATGACAGAGGCAAATGAATGATGGAATTTGCAGTTTTAGTACAGCTGGAGGGCTGAGGTTTAGCTACCACTGCTCAACAGGAATGGTCAGTGCTTTGTTAAAATGGACACTGTCAGATGAACTGTGGGAAGTGCCCACTTCTTGATAAAGGCCTCCTCAAACAAGTATTGAATTGGAAAATGTGGGTGCAAGGGAAGAGTGTGTGCATCGGAAATGTTTTGGTAGGGCCTTTAAGGGATTCAAGACTGGTAGCCACACTGGTGAAGTTTACACGCTGCTCCTCCATCTTTAGGTTGGCACACACCACATCAATGAGGGTCAAAATGCTCTTAGAGTTATAGAGGCTGCCTGCGACTCCTCGGGGCCAATATTATCCTGTAAGGATTTGTGAGACTCTTCATTATATACAGTTTCTGAAACCAAATGTGCAGAGTCAGCAATTAAAACCAGATAAAATTGCAATTTGGTCCACGAAAGCCTTCATAACTGCAGTGAAATCCTCTCAGATTAAATTTATGGAAAGTGCCACACCCAACAGAGCAAAGATCTTTGAAAGTGAATAACTTCACCTAGAGAAGTCGGGGTGGCTTATTGTAAAGTTCTTTTACGGTTTGTTAGGAATATGAAAGTAGTGTAATGTCCTTATTCTGAGCACATGTGCACTTTGAATACAAGGCAGCAGTTAAAGCAAACAAACAGAATTCTCTCACAAACCTGGATGCAGAATTGTCTTGGGGTAAACATGCAGCTGGTGTGGGGAGTTATTTAACCACTTCAAGACCAGGTGTTTAGACCCCCTTCCTGGCCAGGCCATTTTTCAGTATTCAGCGCTGCGGTACTTTGATTGACGTTTATTGCGTCATGCAACGCTGTACTGAAATTAATTGTATACCATTTTTTGGGGACAGATAGAGCTTTCTTTTGGTGGTATTTAATTTTATTGAAAATGTTGGGAAAAAAATGTTTTTTCCATTATATTAGGAAACAATGATTAATACCCATATTTTTGTTAAAATATAAAAGTCAGGGTCACGTCGGGTAGATAGACACCAAACAAGTCATGCTTTAAAATTGCGCGCTCCCGCGAAATCGCAAAAAACTATCATACCCAAAATTGGTCAGAGGCGACGCTTTAAAAAGCTTTTACAGCTCATCAGTTTAGTGTTATCGGAACTATTGCTCTCATTCCGACGTTCGCGACGATATGTAACATGTGCGGCGTAATGGGCAAAATCGTCGTTTTCTGCTTCATCAGCTTCTCTCCAGCAACTGAAGCTGGAGAGTGACACGAGAATGCGGAAGTGATGTAATATACAGGAGAGGGGACCTCCCTCTGATCCCCTGTGACAGAGGCAGTATGCTGGTCCCGGGCTCGCACCGACACAGCGGAGCCTGGGACCAACGTGACAGCGGGAGGGGGCGCACATCCCGGGACCTCATACAAGCGATCCGCCGGCTCTATAGCCGGTGGATCGCTTGTATATTAACGGGCATCGCTGCCTGTTTTCAAATGTCGGCATTTCCCACTCGCGCACCCAGCGGCGTGCGCGAGGGGGCGTGGCTGAGCGGACGTCTAAAGACGCCCGCTCAGATCTAGAGAGCTCCTGGCCAGCCGTTTTTTTACAACGCCGGCGGGGAAGTGGTTAAAGCGTATTTAAACTCAAATAAAAATGTATTGTATTGCAGGTTCCCAATCCCAGATGTTGTGGGAGCATTAGTTTTTTTAAAAAGTTTCTTTACATTTCCACCTAATCAGTCCAGTAACACACATCTTGTCTTAGGATGGCTATGCTCACTCAAACAGACTGCTGTGTTTATGCTATACACAGACTGCATCACATATATTTTTTTTTTATTTTGCCCATAGTTCCACTTTAAGTTGTACAGTTGCTTTATGCTACAAAAACAAATCACTTACCCAAGTTTCTTAACATATTCAAGATATCCAATTAAAAGCTCATGGTAGACAGCTGTCCTTAAGCACTTTGGTTGAAAAAAGTGAACACTATCCAGGTAAGAGATGTATACACGCCTAGGTAATGGGAACAATAGGATATAGTCATATGCAATTCAGAACAATTATGTGAAATTTGGATTATTATAAATAGTATACCTACCTCTGGTTGGGTGGTGGGCAATCAGACCCATACTCTTGTACATGCATGCCAAAAAAGCACAACTCAACCCCATCTACCTCTTCAAAAGCAAAAAGGGCCTTTGTACGGTAAGGGAAAGACTCTGCCATTTCTCCTGTATCCACAAACCTGAAACCAACAAGGAAAATGTTTTTTCAACAAAATGTAATCTTGTTTTTGTGAGCGCAACAAATATAAAACTGGAATGCAGTAATCAGTGGCACAAATAGTAACTTCTACATTTTATGAAAAAAAAAAACAAAAAAAACACCCAGTGGTGTGGAAATTTGAAAAAACCCCAAAAAACCCCCACTTGTCCAGGGACTAAAGCGGGGGCCCAATCTATTTGTCATGATACAAAAAAAAGTTTTTTTAAGACATGTCGCCTGTGGTTCACTGCTATGCAGTTTTTCTGCAAAAAAAAAAAAGGGTAAATAAAAAACACAGGACTATTTTCCTAAACCGATTTAAAGGTTTACAATGTACATTAAGCGACAAAACTTTTTTATTTTTGATTTAACAGTAACATCTGTTTCTTGGAGTAGAGTGCAGGACACAGGCAGATAAGGATTGAACATTGGCTAGAGCTTTGAGGAGCTTCATAAAACCCCTCTCCCAAGAACCCTCAGTTTTGTTTAGCAAGCTATGGAAGACACAGCAGGGATGAATCTGTGGTCTGTACTGTACTCCAAGAACCAATTTAACTGATAAGCAAATAATCCCATTTTCTTGATCTTACAGTATAGCACACAGGCAGTTTCAGAGACGACTGGCACGTGCAAAAGCAACACAACTGAGGTGTGCAATGCAGCAAACAACCTCAAACAGACCCATGAAACAAAAAGGTGATACCCCAACTCAAACAACAGTCTGTAGAAACTTACAGCCAAAACAAACAATCAGAAGAGGCTAAAACATCCACCTGGTAAAATTTGATAAACATGGGAACAGAAGACCAGGTGGCGGCCTCACAAATCTGCAAAGCAGTTGCCCGATGCCGAAAAGCCCAAGAGGCACTGACCAATCTAACCAAAAGCAGAGCCTTACCTTTAGTAGAAAAGGCATGACTATGTCTAATCCCCCAACAGATGGTGGAATGAGACCCAGGTAGTCCCCTGATGGAGCCTCCAGGAAGGACACAAAAAACCACCAGGGGGGAAGAGAGCAGATTGGAAGGCATAAATGGATGA